ATATGTCCTGTTCTCTGGTTAGCAGTAATTGGCGTTCTGAGTGATGAACGCCGTTTTGTCTTGGTCTTCTTCAAGAAGTGGGATCTGATTATAACCAGAGTATGCGTCCATGAATGATAGCATTTTGAATCCGGACACGTTGTCAACCAACTGATCGATGCTGGGAAAAGGGTAAGCATCCTTTGGACAGACTTTGTTTAGGTCAGTGTAGTCAACGCACATTCGCCATGCGCCGTTTGGCTTTTTTACCAATACTGGGTTGGATAACCAAGTTGTGTACTTGATTTCCCTGATGAACCCGGCGGCGTGTAGCCTTTTGACCTCTTCATCAATCACCCTCTGGCGGTCGGGACCGAATTTCCTCTTTTTCTGGGCGAATGGCTTGGCTTTAGGATCCACCGACAAACGGTGGCAGCAAACGTTTGGATTGATACCTGGCATGTCAGACGGCTTCCATGCAAACAAATCTTTGTTTTCCTTGAGCAACTTGATTAACTTGTATTTCATCTCTGGTTCGATGGTGGCCCCGATGTTTGTTGTTTGATGATCCGCATCTCCTAAGACAACATGTTCCAATGCTCCATCCGGCGTGGGTCTGTCATGTTCCACGCGCGGATCCTCTCTAGCGTCAAATTCTACCAAAAAACATTGGTCACGCTCTTTGGACTTCTCGCCGAGATTTCTTTCTGATGGCGACGTCGTCCCCGGCTTGAGCGCCCTTTCATCACTGAAGCTAGCTTTGGCCATTGGCCGTAAGGATATGTTGTAGCAGCTTCGGGCTATCGTCTGGTCTCCTCGCACTGTGGCGACTTTGTTGTCTCGGGCAACGAACTTCATTGCCAAGTGGGGGTGTGAAATGCTTGCCTCGAAGGCAGCAAACATCCTTCTACGAAGAATGGCGTTGTAAGCTGATGGGGTGTCGAGCACCAAAAACTTGATGTCTGCGGATCGTGAGGTGGGCGGCGTTCCAAGGGAGAGCCGCAAGGTAATCACTCCCAGTGGCTTTGTGGTGGTAGCGTTGAAACCTGAGAGTTCACCTGTAACAGGAGTTAGACTATCAACAGTGAACCCTAACGCTTTAAAGCATGGTAAAAACAAAATATCGGCTGAGCTGCCGTGGTCAATAAAAACGCGATTAACGCCGAAGTTGGCGATTATAGCTTGAATGACGAGCGGGTCGTCATGTCCTGGGAGGACGTCGCCTAAATCGCTGGCGTCCCAGACAATTTGAGGCCTTGTTGGACTAGGACTGTGCTTTTCTTTGCTGATCACTTTGCCAGCGACCGCCAGACACTGCTTCAAGTGTTTCTTTCTGGCGTTCGCAATCTCTCCTCCTCCACTCAGCCCGCCTGAAATCATGTTGATCACTCCGTGCTTCACCGGGGCTGAATCTTCGTCTACTTCTTCGCGCCTTCCTCTACGGTCTGGACTTGCTTGCGCTCTGCGATTCCTGGGGGAATCTTCTCTCCTATCACGATTGTAGGAGGGTCTGGATCTAGGTTGACGCGTTCTCCTTCTTTCAGGTGACTTGTTGCGCAGGAGATAAAGTACATCGTGTTTAATTTTTTTATATTTTTAGATATAATTTACCTATTCATTGATTACTCATCTAGTCTGATTCGAGCTATGTAAGATAACATGTGCAGCAAAGCTCTCCTTACCAAGTTTTAACACAGTTGCGCTTCTAGAAATTTGAACTCGAGACTATTGGTTAAGCTAGAACAACATGTTACCAATTTTTTTCATTTTAAAACGTGACTTTAGGTATAAAAAAATGTTGGGCCGCCAACTTGACACTGACATGTGAAAATTCAGGGTACATATGACAATCATCATGTTTTTAGAGAAAAATAATTTTTTTATTTGTGTTCAAAAAAAAATTTGAGGAGAAAATATGTTTGATAACACGTTATTTTTATTCCTAGAGAGAAAATGTTTCATTTGTTCCAATGATAACACATTATACAATATGTTTATTTAATAAATAGTATTTTATCACCAAACTTATGGATCAATTAGTATGAAATTGTTGCAGTCCATTTAGAACTGGATTAATTGAGTAATAGATGAATCGATAGAAAAATCTCAAAAATAAATAGTGCACTGGAAACGAAATAAACAAAAATAAGTTAATTTATTAAATTATTATTTCTGAACTATCAGTTCATTTTCTGGAAAATAAAATTGATATTATCTACCATAATTCTTAACCACTTTTAGAATTGAAAAATAAAATAAAATAAAATAAACATACGACAGGTTATTTTGCCTATCCATTTTTTTGCCTAGTTTGCCTACCTTTCTCAACACCATTAGATTATAATCTCATCCGATGATGGAGATTCATAAGATAAAACAAACCATTTTACCCCTTTTCTCTCTCCCACTGCCTCCCACCCTTTCTCTCTCCTCAGCTCGCGTGCACAAAGACATCCTTTTGATAACCCTTGGGGAAATTTCTTCTCGAGGAGCAGTTCAAAAATTTATTTCTTCTTGTAACGTTAGCTTCAGATCAAATTCTCAAATCCATGACGAAGAGAAATGGGCCTTTGTAACACCCCGTAGTACTCCAGTTGTTAACATCATGATATTACAATGTACACAGCGGAAGATTTGATTAAATACTTAAAGAAACGTCTTGTGAAAATACGAATAAACTTTTTCCAAAACATTTTATGGAAATATTTCTAAAAACTTTCACATGAGATATTACGAAAGCGTAAATCTAAAATATGCAACAACTAATTAATCTCGTTAGCCAGTATTAGTGGCCATTGACTAACCGGATATGACAACAAGTGTCATTCTTGCCAGCATCTCACGGACCGCATAACGGTTGTTTAACGGACAACTTGGATATAAGAATCTCGCACAATCACACCTGATAAACACAGTTAAATAACAGACAGCTTGCAAGTCCCACACGGACTGCAATCCCCAAATAGAGCAGTACATACATATTGGCTCTATGCCCAAATTTATAAATTTATACATCATGTCTTTGTGTACTCATCACATGCATCTAACATAACTCGTAATACATACATCAATAATCCAAAAGCTCAAACAGTAAATAATCCTGAGCATTATTACATACAACAACACAGTCTCAAAATAAGCTGACTAGGCATGTCAAAACACTATACATGCCACATAATCAACATAACAACAGCCACAATCCACTAGTCTGTAGTTGGGCCCTTGCCCTTAGACTGCATACTGCTAACCTAGGTACCTGACATGAAATTCCTCAAAAAAGGGTGAGATAACAACATCTCAGTAAACTCAAGATTCTTAGAGAATCCTCTAATCCTATAACACCTAACATTTCTAAAACATATATTTATATATTAAATATGGATTAAAGGGTAGGTTTAATGAAAATCCTGAAATTAGGGTTAAAATACAAAGGAAGGATAAAACGATAATTAGCCAAACACGTAACTCTAGGAAAGCAAAATTGAGTAGAAGGTCTCAAATAAGAAAACTAACCCTGGAAATGGATTCAGAACGAAAAATTGAGTGGTCAAGCAAGTTTCTGGAAATTTGATGAATAGTGTTTTTTATCGGGTAAAAATATTGTGGTACAGTTGCACCGTAAAGTGTGTCGAATAAATTTTGAGCTCTAGGTTTGGATATAAGTTATAAATGGTACATAGGACTAGGAAATATGATTTCTGGTGAAAATTGATGGAAATTAGAGTGTTTGGGGAAGCGTGCCCACAGCGCGCATAACAGCTTAAAACTGCGATTTCTCCGAACGACTGGAAAACTCCGGATCCATCTGATCAAGGCCAATTAAAGGAAAATGGTTAATGTTAAAAATTAGAGTTTCTAAATAATTTAGGAATTATGGACGTTTAGTGAAATAGGCAGGAGATTTGAATTAATTTGAATCGCGTGAGGTGGCGATGAGATCCACCCCACTTAAGTGACCTTTAAACACATGGCATGGGTCACTATTCATCATCTTTTTCTCCCTTCTCTCTCTCATCAAAATCGTGCTCCTTCCCCCTCCATGGACAAGTTTGGTTTAAATTTTCTTTCTCTTCTAACTCACTCAAAACTCACTCAAATCCAACAAAGTTTGTCATTAAACTTTAAGTAGAGGACCATCCAAACACAACCATACCATCCACAAGCCTTGAAACTCACTCATTTGGGAGAAAAATCCCCCACAAACCCGCGGCCATTGTTGGAGATAGGGATGGCAAAAACGAGCCAACCCGTCGGGTTGGCTCGTAACCCGTCACAAATGAGTCAAGTTGGGTTGGCATAAATGAGCTGCCAACCCGACTCGATCCAACCCGGACAAAAACGAGCCAGCCCACGGGTCAAACGGGCCAGCTCGCGGGTTGTATGTTTTTTTTAATTAAAAATACTAATATCAAAATTGCCCTACGCTACGCATCGTTCATCGTTTTCATCGTCAGTCATCACTTTCTTTCATCGTTTTCATTTTTTGTCCAACCCTAAATTCTTCTCACTTTATCTACTCTTTTACTTAATCAAAGTGAATCAACTCAAAGGTAAAGTGAAACTATTCTCCTTCTTTTTCTTTCTCCCAGCGCATTTCTGCAAATTTTGTGCTTGTATCAGATCTCTAATCTATTTTCATATTTCATGAAGTTCCACCCCTAAAAGTTACAGCTTTCAGGTTTACAGAGACAACTCGAGCAAGAATAAAGAAGGCAGGTGGTGAATGCTTAACCTTTGATCAGTTGGCTCTTAAGGCTCCTTTGGGACAGAACACGATATGTGTGGATGCCATTATGGGCCTTTGTCATTTTCTGAGTGATTAATTCTACTAATTGTTAACATGGTTTTGTTATGCATCCTGTTAGATTTTGGTTGAATAGTTTATACCTGTTATATTGTTTGATGGTTAACATGGTTTTGATTGAAGTTTTCAGTCTAATTAATGCAAGGCCATCTTCAAGTCAAAAGTGTTACCTGATAGCTTTTGTTTGATGGGTGGTTAGAAGTTAGCCTTTTATGAACTAATTAAATAATTATATCTTTTGATTTTGGATGAGAGCTATAATCAGTTCTTCAACTTTTGACAGCTAAAATTTTCGCCTTTCCACAACCCTCCTAAAACTAAAACTGAATGATAAGGAAATTATGCATCTGTCATTAGAATTTATTTAGTGTTACTTGCAAATGTTGTGTGGTTGATGGAGCTTTAGTTGTGATTGCTTTATGTCACTATCTACCCGACTCTCAAAAGGAAAGCATTATAGTATTATTACCTTGCTGATTATAGGAACAATACAATTTCATTTGTATTGTACCCTTAGGTTATATCCTGATTCATTTTTATCATTATTTTTAATAGTTGAGTGTTAAATCTATTTAGTTATTGAATTGTATTTTAGGAACTGCATTTTTTCCTTTGCAAAGCTGCATGAACCATTCATGTTTCTGTTTACCATTCATTTTAGGAATATGCCACAAAGATGTGATTAGATAAATTTCTTTGGCCTTTATTTTTACTATCATGTTTCTATTTTAACATGAAAAAGAAAATGACCCTCATCATGGTCATTGTAGGAGGGTACTGGCCACCAGCAGGACCAGCCCTCATCTCCCCCAACATGACCCTCATCATGGTCATGTTCTCCAGGCGATTCACCTCCAGCACGTCCTCGGTGGCTTTCATGTTCGCCTCTTTGACGGTGTAACACCCCGTGTTAACCCGGTTTGTTAACATGTCATCGTATTAAGCCACGCTTAATTAAAATGGCAGAATATCTTTTTCTTTTCATTTATGACGTCATTATTCTTACCAAGTTGAATTACTTAATTCATTTTCAAAACATTGCCTGTATGTAAATGCAAAAGACAAACATCTATACTGAAATAACCTCATAACATAATTAAGATCATTAACTGAGTCTCTAGTCACGGCACTACTTTGTTGGCAAAGAAAAAGGGTCAATAATAGGTATCAATTATTAGTTGGGACCAAATGCTAAAAATAAATAACACATTAATTAATTTACCGTGTCTTCTATTAAATAACAGCTAAGGGAGAAAATAAGATTATAAAGAAATAAAAAAAAGTGCAATTACAACACCAGAAGGCATGAAGGTAAATAATAAAAAATTGATCGTACAAACAAAATATAGGGTCTTAAGGCTAATTCCTCATTGAAATAGAGGGTGCATTGGATTACTGTCACCAGAAACAAAAAATTGACCCTCCAATAAAAAAATTGGCAAAAAATTCTGTAATTTTATTAGGTTCTTCTTAATAAGTATTTTTGTATTCTTAACGTGATCATCCAACCAAAATTGGCATTACTTTTTTATAATAGTAATATAAATTTTTGCCCCCCGTCATATAATTTTCTGGG